GTACCTGGACCTTTCTAGCACACGGAAAACGTATTCATCCCTGTGACATACATGGTTTATTATGAGCATCTGCTGCTCAGGGTGTGCTGCTCTCGGGCTGTTTTCTTGTCCGTGTCTTACACAGATTCCCAGTGTGACTTCTCAGATGCTTCATGAGTCAAGCTCTGGGATGATAATAAAGATTGTGCCAACAGTGGGTCAATAGCCACTTCCAATCATTGCTCTGCCATTTTACAACAGGTAACAACTCATTTGCCTCTCTTTATCTCCCTTTATGGCCTTTTCCCACCTATAAAATGGGGTTAATACATTTTTACTTTATAGGAGGTGGGGAAGGTAGGGGTTTGCAGAAATTAGTGTTTTTGCTAATCATCTCCAGTGTACTTCTACGAACAAGTGACTGTAACTGTCTTCTAAAGAAGATTATTTGTCTCTCTGCTCTAACACCCACCATGAAGCCTCCAAAGGCCAAGGCCAGAGAAAGTATCCTCTTCACTGTTTATCTTGTTATCAAGATCGGCTAATATCCAAGCTATGCTTATATGCCATCCTGCACACAGAATCCAGACTCTTTCATTGCTGGGTAGTCCCCTATCTGCAAAGGTGTCTGCCTGCATGATAACTCAGGGGAAAGCTCCCTACGTACTCCTCTGAATTAGTACTGGATTCTTTGTTTCGAGTCTGGCAAATAGAGAAGACAGCACAAGTTTGCTGCTAAATACTAGGAATTTAGGAGCACCTGAGTGGCTCAGTCAGTTAGGCATCCAACTCTTAATTTCTCCTGAGAGTTACGAGATTGAGCCCCGGCTTAAGGTTGTCCCTCTCCCTCTGACCCTACCTCTGCCCACTGGGTGTTTTCTCTCCCTCTCTCTCTCTCTCTCTCTCTCTCTCTCTCTCTCTCTCTCAGTCAAAAAAAAAAAAAAGTCCCTGGAGGAAAGGAAAATTCCAGTGTGAGGGGAAAGCATACTATATCTTAAAAACAAAGGAAGCAGTACACCTGGGTGGCTCAGTGGTTGAGCATCTGCCTTCAGCTCAGGTCGTGATCCCACCTGGGATCGAGTCCCACATCGGGCTCCCTGCTTCTCCCTCTGTCTGTGTCTCTCATGAATAAATAAATAAAATCTTAAAAGAAAATAGAGGAAGATGGTGACCCCAGGCAGGCCCTGGAAGCTCAGAGGCATCTTATATAACAGGGGACAGGGCCCCTTGAAGGGGGCTTCCCTCTAAGCCACCCCTGCACACAAGGGTCATCCTCTTCCTGGTTAGCTTTCTTGCCACTAGACTGACCTGTATTTCTCATACTTTCAAAACTGGACATTAGATTCTGTATATAATTAATGTTAAGAGAAAAAAAGCAAAATATGAAAATGAAATGCACAGTGTGAAACTGTGATGGTATGAAGAAGCTAATAATGGCTACCCACACACAAATTAAAAGAAGAAAGTACTATGATGAAAGTGTTGTATGATTTTAAAACATTATTAATGTCTTTACTGTTATATTGTCCTTTCACTTAAAAGACAAAAAGCTATCCGGCAACTTCACTGTCATGAGAAGCCATTTTATTAGGCTTTTAGCATTACTAAGCACAATTTCAAATACTTTGGTCCTTGCAGAACTACTCTCCCATTACAGTTAACTAGACCAATATCCCTCTTAAAATGAGGTTTATAAGCCTATTTAAAGGGTAATAACACGTTGCCTTTTTTGGATGAGGCTTTCATCCTGATGGAAGCTCTAGTCAATCTTCAAAGTAAAGAATCCAGGCTATCCTCATCTCACAGCCTGCAAAACAGCCCAGGGGTTTTAATGACTTCCGTACGATAGAGCAAGGGAGGACCCCACCACCCTGAGGGGCTGCCCCACGGTGGTACACCTGCACCAAGTGAGTAGAATTGGGACTCCAGACCTGTTGCTGTGGAAGCAGAGATGGTGTCAGAGTGGGGAGGAACATGCTGGAAGAGGCCTGGAAAGAAAAACATGTGGGCCTCATTTTCCCATTTCCCTTCTTCTTCTCATGTTTCTACAGTAAAATAGGTCCGTCGTCTCTCTGTAGGTTATGCCTCCTTTACATACCCCTATTTACAGGGCTGTTAATGACTCGGGGATATTTTCTATTTGGGGGTAGAAGGAAACCAATGTTAGCACACTGCCTATTCATCGGTGAGGCTCATGTTAAATATGCAGGATTGGGGACCACCTGGGTGAGTCAGTCAGTTAAGCATCTTTTGATTTCGACTCAGGTCATGATCTCACGGTTGTGGGATTGAGCCCCAAGTTAGGCTCTGTGTTCAGCAGGGAGTCTGCTTGAGATTCTCTCTCCTTCTCCCTCCGCCCCTTCCCCTGCCTGAGCTCTCTTTCTCTCTCTCAAATAAAATCTTTTATATATATATATAGGGTTGGGAAGGATAGACTAGAGAGGGGATGCCCTAAGGATTCTAATTACTTACACCCCTCACATTTCCTTGGTTATCCCTCCTTCACCATCACCTCCTGGACACCACCACTCCTGTTATCTTGGATCACAGGGGTCCTACTTGAATTTCAGGAGCACACATTCTAAAGGTTTTTTTATTCAGAGCTGTGAGAATAATGGTTTTCATAATGAAAATGTTGCCTATTAACTTGCCCTCCAGAAGGTCACAACACAAATCCATTGTTGAAGGCCTCGCTCATGAATGAGGTGAAATAATTCTACTCAACATTACTTCATGGTAAGATAAACATTTGCTCAGAAGAAGCCTTCCTTGCCTGGACATGCATTATATTCTGGTCCCATCAGGCAGCCCTCAGGGCAGCCTCTTCTAAGAGATGGCTGCCCTTTGATGCCTTCCTGGCCTCCTGGATCTTGCAGAAATAGAAGCCAATCATACATCTAGGTTTTATGCTCCAGGCCTGTGTGCCATCCAATAAATAGCCACAAACCACATGTAGTTATTTATATTAATATTTAATTTTTAATTAAAATTATGTAATTACTTAATTTTCATCAAATTTAAAATTTGATTTCTCCATTGCACGAGCCACATTTCAAGCACCCAAATCAAATGTGGTATGTGGCTGCCATATTGGTCTGAGCAGATATAGAACATTTCTATCATCACAGAAATTTCTGTGGTTAAACCAGTCTCCCCACCCTCTCCTCTGGCAATCAAATCTAATTTCTTTTCCTGTAGTTTTGACTTTTCACGAATGTCTTACAAATGGAGTTGTACAGTTAACTGGCTTTTAAGTCTTGCTTTTTTCATTTAGCATAATGCTTTTGAGATTCATCCATGTTGTTGCATGTAAATATGCGTTTTTTTTATTATTATTACTGAGTAATTATTTTTTGAGAGAGAGAGCACAAGGGGGTGGGGAGGAGTAGAGAGAGAGGGAAGGGGAGAGACTCTTAAGCAGGCTCCACGCTCAGTGTGGAGCCCCACATGGGGCTTGATCTAATGACCCTGAGATCATGACCTGAGCTGAAATCAAGAGTCAGATGTTTAACTAACTAAGCCGCCCAGGCACCACTTGCTGAGTAATACTCTATTGTACGGATATGCCGGAATTTGTTTATCTATTCTACATTTGATGGGCTTTTGGATTGTTTCTAACGTTTATTTATTATGAATAGAGCTGTTAAAACAGTCATGCATAGATTTTTGTGCACCATGTGTTTTCATTTCTCTTGGGAAAACTCCTAGAAACTGGATTGTTAGTCACACAGTAAGTATGTGATTAATGTTATAAGAAATTTTACAAGAAACAGTCATACCACTTCCAAAGAGGCTCTACCAATTTGCATTCCCACCAGCCATGGATGAGAGTTTCAGTTGCCCACATCTTCATCAGGATGCTGTATTTTCCTTTGTTGTTGTTGTTGAGCCATCCTAACACATATGTAGTATATTTCATTGTGGTTTTAATTTGCATTTTTTAATGATTAATGATGTTGAACATCATTTTATGTGCTTATTTGTTGTCAATATCTCTACTTTGTGAAGTTTTTGTTTTAATCTTTTGCCCATTTTTAAAAATTGGGTTATTTGTTTTCTTATTACTGAGTTGTTTCTTTATGTATTCTAGAGCCAGTGCTTACCAGCAATGTGTTCTACACATTTTTTATTTTCCCCTTCAGTTTGTGGCTGGTCTTCATTTCCTTAACAATACTTTCTGAGGAGCAGAAGGTTTTGTTTTTTGTTTTTTTGTTTTTTTGAAGAGCAGAAGTTTTTAATAGTGTTGAAGAACAAAGAAGTATTTCTTAGTAACTACCATATGCTCAACTTTGATCAGCATTGGAGATACAATAAAGCTTAAATTTGGACTTTTTCTTTTTAACAGAATTGTTATCCTACTATCCTATTCTAGCCTACTTTTTCACTATCTTATCATGAAAGGTTTCACATCATTAAATATTATCTGAGAATAGGATATGTAATGTGAACATAGTATTCACATGGCTGTATCTTACTGTCCCTCCCTATTTGGGGATATTGATATTGCTACCAATCAATTCTAAAAACTGAAGAAAAGAAAAAAAGAAATACATGATTGCCATTCTTGTACAGAAGTCTCTGTCCACATCCCTGATTATTTTCTTAGTATGAATGCTTACAATTGCCAAGGCTGGTGCAAAGACATAGTGCTTTGTTTTCTAACTGTCCCTTCAGAAAGACGACAGACATCTTGAAACCAAAATCTTGACCTCCTTGTTGTGCGAGCATATGACAAAGATCCTGTTACATTGTAGATGCATCTTACATACTTGATGGATGAAGAGTTAGAAAGAAAAGTATGCACTGAAATTCATCCTCTCCCCTTCCCTGGCAAAAGAAAATAGGAGTTCCCTTAGCCACCTACCTTGCTTTCTGAGATAAAGGGAACAAGAAAAAGGTTTTCTTCTAAGAGGAAACCTGCCAAGGTGATGGAGGTTCCCAGAAAGCTAGGTGACAAGCCCTGTTGCTGCTCAGCAATGCCCTTAAGGGGCCCCGCCCCCCAGCCCGTATAAAGCCAGGCTGCAGTGGGGCAGCATCAGTTGGCACTCAACCTCCAGAGCACCGTCCCGGCCTTGGCACTGGCACTGGCACGCGCTATGGCAAGTGAAGTGCAAGTCCTGCTCCCCCCGCTGAAAGGGGGGCATCCTCCTGCAGGTAGGCTACCCACCTGCCCTCTGTCCTGCAGATAGCACTGGTCTCACTGCTGCTGCTGCTCCTCCTTCCACCAACGTCTTCAACCTCCCCACAGAGCAGAGGTTCGCAATGTCCCTGTTGTTGCTTTAACTTCACACCACCTGATTTCCTCCTATGTCTTAGAACTTTCTGGGCTTGCTTATAAACCCCCTGAGGATTTGTCAAGTCCTGGTTGAATTAAAACCTAATTATAGATGAAGGCATAAGGGATTCGGTGCCTGTGAAAAGGGATAGTTAAGGTTGGACCTTCCCTCCCTGGCTGGAGGTGAGCAGAGACACATCCACGGGAAGATGCTGATTTACTGCCATGGCAACCTTCCTCCCAAGAGGTTCCAGCTCTAAGACTCCATCACCCCAGGATGACTGTACCTCGTGTGACTCAGTACCCAGGCAAAGCAGCTTCCACACGGAGGACAGCAACTTTATTTTCTCTCTCTCCTCAGGCTTTGGGTTTGGGCAGTGTTATCAATAATGTAGTTCGCCTCATCACCAAGCTAAGGGGCACTTTTTAATATGGACCCAAGCACAGGAGGGGCTGACTAGGGAAGGTAGCAATCAAGGTGTTTTGTAAAATACCACTTTTCTCTCAATCTTTTTTTTTTTTTTGACTTATGCTCTGTGAAATATGGAGATTAGTTTTATTATACTTAACCATACGCTCATATAGATTGGATGAGGCATGCAAGACTATTTTTAGCCAGTTTTATGTTCTTTCAACTGCCCTCCTTCTTTTTTTCCTCAAGAAACATCTCAAAATCTTGACTACTTTGTTCTTGCCTTTCTCCATTTACGAACCTTATTTATTGGCGTAATGCTTTGGCACTTCTAAGACAAGGTTATTTTAGTCATCTTTGCTGCAGAGGATGCTGGCAGGTAATAACCTTAAGAAAGCTTCAAACACTGACACAGAGGTTCAATGGCTTTCTGGTGGGCTGCCCACCTGAAAAGAGTACGAATTTTACTACTAACTCTGAGCTTCAAATTCTAGACACCGTGCCCTGGTTTCCAGGGGCAGACTCCTGACATTTTATATTTGTAATTGGATTTAGCCATAGTTAACATTACCTATATTTAAAGTTAATGATGCTGGGGCACCTGGGTGGCCCAACTGGTTGAGCATCAGACTCTTGATTTTGGCTCAGAATCGTAAGATTGAGCCCTACATAAAGTTCCGTGCTGGGTGTGAAGTCTGCTTGGGATTCTCTCTCTCCCTCTGCCCCTCCCCAACCACTCACTTCTCTCTCCCTCTCTGAAAAAAATAAAACAAAGTTAATGATGCAAACTAATGGTCAGGAACTATACATGCAAATTATTACAAGAGACATTCATTACAGAGAGACCAAAAAAAAAAGAAAAAGAAAAACACGTTCTCTTCCCACCACTTCCACCCCAATCCTTCATGAAATGGATAAGCTAAAACCTGATTTCCTAAATTACATTTATGAACAAAGAACACAGAGATAAACTTAACCAAATGGAAGTTTGAATGAAACCACCAGGAACTTTCTGCCCCACCACTAATGATTGCTAATTACTCTGTGTACATAGCACACCATGACTCCATCAAGCATGTCACAATGCCTCTGGCATGACAATTAATTATTATGAACTGTGACACTATAGATAAGAGGTTTGGGATAATTAGAATGGAGATGAAGGCAGACTTTTGCCTCCCCGCTGAGAGCAAGGGAACAAAGAAACCTCATCCTTCAGCTTGTCTTGCTACATATTTTAAGTCTGAACCAGTTTGCCATGGCGCAAAATTTTACTCACGGAACAAAAATCATCCATTGCCAAAACTCCACTGAAGCTTCACCTGATTTTTATAAGCAATATAGAGATGACTGAAAGTGGGCAGCAGGTGTGATATGGAGGGAAGGGTCTGACACTGCCTTTGTGATTGGGCCGACCTTCGGCACACCTCTGGCCCCAGGCGTCCTTATCTTTAAAGCAGGGGCTAATAAATTACATCGATATTATAAGGTGGTTATGATGATTAAAGGAGAACACCTATGGAAAGCACCTGGCCCACGAATGCTAATCTCTTTAAAGTGCAGGCCTAGTGAAACACGGGCTGTCAGAAGGAATGATCCTCCCCAATCGCAAGACCTCCTGATGTTGGAGGGCAGCACAAGGCCCTACCAGCAGTCAGAGCAGAAGGGAACGGACAAGGGACATGGGCCTGCCTCGTCAGGGTTAAAAATGAAACCTCTCAGAAGTCAACCAGCTGTAACTCTTTCCCATCTACGTGTGGAGGGCTGGGCTGCTTTTCTTTCATGTATAGTAATCTATTGCGCTTCTGTTAGCCCTGGTTATCAATGTGTGCTGTGAAACAGACTACATGAAACATGATGTGGCCTAGGCACTAGCCAGCTTAGCTTTGGATTTTCTGCTTTTTTTGATTCGCCTCGCTCTCAGGTTTAGAAGAACCCTATTGCATGAATGGCCAAAAATGTGTATGGAAGGTAATAGGAGGAGGCCAAGTATGCGAGGAACTAGAAAGAGCAGGAGTTCCCAAGTTTTTCTGGATTTCTTGCACCTTGTAATTTGGTTTAAGTCAAATGAATCAAGCCATCAGAGGGGTCACCACAGAACCCCCAGAGAGAATCAGTTTTCTGGCTCACTAAAGAGAGAAGAAAGTCTGAAGACATGCCCAAGGGTCAGTGTCACTTAAAACAAACACCAAAGGCTCAATTCACTCAACTCCAATCTACTCAAGTCAACTAATGGGGGTTGTTGATCTGTAAGGCACAAGGAGAGGTTGTGAGACTGGCTCCCCTAAACATCACGGGGTCAGGGATTTGGATGACTGCAAGACCAGCTGCTTTCCTAGGCATGGCAACAGCCCTGTGGACCAGGATGTGCCATCGTCTTTGTTTCACAGAGGAGCAAACTAAAAGTCAGCAAGGTTGAGGGACTTGCCCAAAGCCCCACAGATAGTGGGGGCCGTGGGGCTGAGATCTGAAAAATACAGTGGGCCCCATGCCAAAGCTCTCCTATTCTAAAGCCCTCTTTCTTTACTTTACCATCTTTTCCTAACTTTTTGGGTCTTGATTGACATCTTAAAATGGGCTGAAAAATTGACCGTAAGTGCAAAGTGAATGTTTTGCAAACATCTAAACTTTTACTTAAAATCTTCAAGTATAAGTGCTCAGTCACAAGGCAAAGTGTGCACAAACCTTTGTGTTACTCAGCTTTTTCCCATCCATTTCTCACTGATTAGTGAAGGAAAAAAAAGCTTATTTTGCAGGCTGATGTGTCTTTCTTTATCTTGACTCTCCTCTACCAAAAATTTTTGTCTGGAAAATCTTAACTGGAAAATTATTATACAGCATTCTAAACTCAAGGGCCTGTTTTTGCAAAGTTATAAACTACAAAACTAGCCACAAGTGTATAACGTCTATTCAGAGGCTGGAAAGCAAAGGTTCATTTTCCTCACAGAAATTTAGACTTTCTAATGAAACTACAGAAAGGCATCTCTCTCTTTTACATTTTTATCTCTAATTCATTTTGCTTAAAGTCTTATGTATTTATACTCAAAAAAATGTTAAAATGTTAAATCAGTTCATATTTTTCCTTGCCCAATTCTGATTGGTCTGTCTATAGAAGTTCAAAGGGAATATAGTTCCATACACGGAATTGTGTAAATTATTGCAATTTTAAGAAAACAAAGTTAGACACAGTGAAACTTTGAAGAGTTCTTGTGAGTTGAACCTATCTGGTATATGGAACATGGGCAAGTATCTGTTTGTGTTGAATTGTAAATATTTATTTACAATGGTTTATCTAGATTCCAGAGACTAGTGTGACTAGTGTTCCCAGCAGAGCTTTGAAGATGACCCTCCCACAAACTGGTTCCATCTGGTTCAGTCACCCCAAGTACTGGGAGCCTTAATTTGTTCTTAGTCTATCCATCTAGAGTATGGGGATATTATCTTCTGTGTCTTTCTACTGTACATGGCTGACCAAGCAAACTACCTACCAGAACAAGTTTGATATGAGAACAGTGTCTGGAAATCCAAGGTGTGTGTGGTTTACTTATGCTTCCTAAATCAATGAGTTAGAGCATAGAGCCCCATCACAGAGAGGAATCAGAGTCTCCTACACGAAAGTAGGAATCTTCTGGGATGATTTTTAATTTCCCCTCAAATATCTCTGTTTTATCATTCTAAGGAATATGCCTAATAATAAATTTTTAAATTTCTTTTGGGGGACACCCGGGTGGCTCAGCAGTTTAGTGCCTGCCTTTGGCCCAAGTCATGATCCTGGGGTCCCGGGATCGAGTCCCACGTCAGGCTCCCTACAGGGAGCCTGCTTCTCCCTTTGCCTATGTCTCTGCCTCTCTCTGTGTCTCTCATAAATAAATAAAATCTTTAAAAAAATTCTTTTGGCATTTACTTCTCTATTCAGTGCCTTATATTCTTTCCAAAGGGAGGAGTGATTTTATTTTGGAGGCAAAGACTTGATGATGAAGGCCATCTAGTTCAACTTCTAGCAAATTCCCCCAAATCGCCCTGAGATGTTCATGGCAGGTGGACTTCTTTTCTTTAACACACTGAGAGCCAAGGGACTTACTATTGTACTAGGCAACCGACTTCATTTTGAATAACACCAATTAGCCAGGCTAGTAGCGAGGCTCCACCTTTCTGGAATATTCATCCTTTGCATTCTGTCCTCTGGAACAACATAAAATAAATACGACTGATTTCCTCACCAGGAAGCCATTCCTCCTCCATGTGATAGCCCCACAGGTCTTTGAAGATGGCACCCACACTCCCTTGAGTCTATCCTCCTCAGAGGTGATCCTTCCAGACACCCTAGTTCCTCCTGTGACATGGCTCCCTTCTTCATCTGGCCCCTCTCCTCTCGACTTCTCTAGATTGTCAAGGTCTTTTCAAATTAATAGCATAGAACTCAACATTCCAAAGGGCTTCTCATTTTAAACTACTGTTTATTTTAACTATTAACACATTTATTCCTTTTTTAAATTATTTTATTTTATTGTTTTTTTTAAGATTTTATTTACTTATTCATGAGAGACACACACACACTCACACAGAGGCAGAGACACAGGCAGAGGGAGAAGCAGGCTTCATGCAGGGAGCCCGATGCGGGACTCAATCCCCGGTCTCCAGGATCACGCCCTGAGCTGAAGGCGGCACTAAACCACTGAGCCACCCGGGCTGCCCAACACATTTATTCCTAGAGTTGGTGATAAATCAGTCCATGTAGATGAAACTATGTAGAAACAATAGCAGCAGGGAAAACACAAGGAGTATTAATAAGAAAATAGTTATAGCACTCCATATTTCAAATGCATTTGTCACAAGGAGAAAGAAAAATACAGTTGGGAGAGGTACTGAAGACCCAAGCTCTAGACCTCCTGTATGACTCCTCTCAGTTCAAGAGACAGTGAGCAGTGCTGTGAACACCACCACCCCTCACACGAGGCACTCCCTCCTCAGTCTTCCTGGAAAAGCTATACTTTGGTTTATCTCACATCTACATTCCATGGCTGTCCCAAAGATGTTTTCACATCATTTGATTTCTGTTACTGATTATTTGGTATGCCTTTTTCTCATATAATGTGTGTCTCTCTCTGTCTATGTGTATGAATTTAAAGCAGACCATGTGTAAAAATAGCATGCTATTCCTAGACTGCATCTAATATTACAAAAATTCTAATGAGAAGCTTTTATAATCAATGAAAAAACAACTTGGTGATTCAAAATGGCCAAGTAGAGTTTATTTTATGAATGCAAGAATGGTTTGATAGTAAAATATCCATTAATCTGTTACTGTAAGTAACCACATGAAGGACAAAAACCATGGATCATATCCATGAATGCTAAAAAGGCATTTGTAATTTTTAAGCCCAGTGAAATACTAATAGAAGAATATTTCCTTAATATGAAAAAATATATAAATATGTACACACACACACATATATATATGTGTGCGTGTGTCTGTGTGTGTGTATCCACCTAAGTATGCATCATACTTAATGGGAAAACACTAAAAGCAATCCCTTAAAAATTAGGATAATAAAGATGTTAATCACCACAACTGTTTAACATTATTCTACAGGAAGTAGTGCTATAATTCCTTACAGGTTGTATTTTTTTTTTTTTACCTGAAAAACCTAAGAGAATCAACAAAAAAACTATTACAAACAATAAGAATTCAATTAAGGTCTGGGTATAAAATCAATGATATAATAACAATGATCTGTCAGAGTTATAATTGAAGAATTGACTCCATTTATAATAGCAATGGTAACAACCAAGATAAAATGCTTAGAAAATAAACCTAACAATAAATGTGTTAGGATTTATGCAAACCAGTTACTGAGGGACCCAGAAAAAGATGGAACAGCATACCATGTTCTTGAATAGAGAGTCACCAGGAATATAAACATTTGAGTTTTCCCTTTTTAAAAAGTCTATAAATTTCCTTTGGTCCGGGGCGGGATCCTGGAGACCCAGGATCGAGTCCCACGTCGGGCTCCCTGCATGGAGCCTGCTTCTCCCTCTGCCTGTGTCTCTGCCTCTCTCTCTCTGTATCTCTAATAAATAAATTAATTAAAAAAAAATACCACTGACTATAAAAAAAATAAAATAAAATAAAAAATAAAATAAAAAGTCTATAAATTTAAAACAAGACCATTAAAAAAAATAATCAGCAGGACTTTTAGGGAAGGAATTGACAAACTGATTTTAAAGTTCATATGGAAAAATAGGTCAGAATAGCTAGTGAAATTCTGCAAAGGAAACATAGCAAAGAAGGACTAACTCTATCAGATATTGCCATGCAATGCTGCAATCATTGTCAACTATTCTTTAATAAATATATATATACACATACATACATATATGCTGCTACATTCATTAAAATAGAGTTGCAACAGCACATAAATGGACAGAGAGATTAATAATCAAATAGAAAAATTGGACCAAAAAAATTGAGCAGTTCATAAAAAGAAAATAGAAATGGCTTCTAAAACACAGAAACAAACTCAATCTTTAATAAAATGGAAGAAATGCAAATTAAAGAAGTTGTCTTTTTTTTTTTTTAACTTATTGGTAGACAAAACCAAACATTTTCTAGCTCCCATTGTTGCCAGAAGTAGGGGAAAACAATCACTGTCATCATAGTTAGTGAGGTTGTAAACTGGTACAACCTCTGGAAAGGGCAATTTGGCAAGACTTGGGAAAATTCGGAATGTACAAACCCTTAAGAACTAACAAGATCTCTTGTAGGAATTTATCTCATGGGTATCCTTGCACTTGTGCAAAATTATGCATATAAAAGGATATTTATTGCAGCATTGTTTGTGACATCAATGAATTAGAAACATCTGAAATGTCCAACATTTGGGAATTGGCTAAGTAAACACAGAACGTTCACATAATGAAATTTTAAAGCAGATGTTAAAAAGAACAATACATTTCTCTATATTTGGATAGATAGGGAATTTACTCCGAAGTTTATGATTGTATGAAAAATATAAACAAACAAGATGCAGAACAATGTGTATTTTATGCTGCCATTTGAAAAAGAACAACATGTACAATATCTGGATGTGCACACAGACCCAAGTAACATTAGTGTCAAGGGAAATGAATAGACGCTGGAAAAATTGGTGGGATGGAGACTGCAGATCCTTCACGCTTTCTGAATTATGTGCCTTATGCATGTTTTACAAAAATCAACAGAATATGTAATAATTCTTAAAGAACCATGATAGTGTCAAATTGATAAGCACATTGAGAAATAGAATAGATTTTCTTTACTTTTCACTTTATTGGAGCTAGTTTTAGAAATGGCCAATTTGACATTTCCATAAAAAGAATTAACAGGTTCAAACACATCAATGTCCATTTAGCTTTTTCTCATTTGAGCTTGTCAGATTTTAGATGAGCAAATTTCCTGGGAACAGAAAGAAGTATTTGCTTCGACTTGCAATCTGAAATGGGTTGTTCTTTTTCAAAAGTTGATTTCATCTGACATTGTTAAACACTTGAATGGCCGTTAGGTCATCTGTAGCCTGATTAACACTAATTGATCTCCTGAATGGCAGGATTATTAATGTAGTTTAATTACTCATTAGAACATCTGAGTTTGACCAAAGTCCAGAGGTTTGGGGGTCTGGGATGGGAAGGTGGGGTTCCAGTGGGATCAGAAGCATCTCTCTTGAATTAAACGCCCGTTACTACCGCATGCCCTGACTTTTGGCTCATCTCTCGGAATCTGTGCTTTTGAATGCTTTAGTTGAAAAGAAAAAAAAAAATGCAAGCCTTGCACAAACTTTAATCTTGTGGGAAAACAAGAGGGTCACATTGTAATGGTCTGTTGCTACCCTAAAGAGAGTAATTGGTTTGATAACAAGAAAAAATGGTTTTCAGTGAAATGCCTAGGAGAGTACGTGGCCCTTCTCCTCCCCAACCCAAAGGTGTAAACCTCTGTTGCTTTGTTTAGCCTCAGGTCCTGCTCTCTGAACATAAAGAAGCAGCCCTCAACCCTTCTCCCCTTCCCTACCTTGTTTGCATGACACAATATTATTTCTTCTATTCAGTTCAAGGTAATGCTTTATTGTGTTGATTTAGATAAAAGTTTCAATGCTCAGAAAGTACTAAACTTCTTTTCAAATCTAATTCATACCTCAAACAACAAAAGCAAGCCTACCCTTTCTATTCTAACCAAAACTCCTGTGTGTTGCTTATTTGTTTATAGTAAAGGCTGGAGGAATGCGCATTCCCAAGAAACAAGAAATTGGTGTCATGGAGAGACATACCAAAAAAACAGGATTAGAGAAAACAAGGTAGGGATTACTTAATTTCTTCTCCTTCATCACCTCAAATTGTTTTGAGTAACTCTGCTTCCAGGAGTTGGAAGCCTCCCTGCAATTTGAGACAGACCAATGCTCCCTAGGCCTTTGCTGAAAAGGGTTAGGGGCAGCCAGCTAAGAAGCAGTGGTGACGGGGCTGTCTTCTGGAAGACTCTCTCTGGGCCCCCTCACCACCCACATCCTCCTCTCTGCAGCCAACCCAGCTGTCTTGTACTTAAAAAGCACAATCCCAATTGCATCCCCACCTGACTCCTGTTCTGTTAGCTTATCTTCATATTAGCCTTTAAAATAGTGTCCGTAAGCCTGCCCTGTTTTCATAATATGCTTTCTGTTGCAGCAAATCTTATGAATTAAAAATAAATGTTTTTTTTCTTAGTTTGTTTTAAATCTATCACTCAATTATTTAGAAAATAATGGCCACTCTATTCAACATAGCCAGAAGGCATGTAGATACTGAAGTTGTTTCTCCCTTGCTCCCTCGGCTGTAACCCTGAAAAAAGGCACCATTCTCAGAGCTAAGCAGAGAGCTGTGGGCTGGGCAAGTGCACGAATGGCCCAATCATTGGACTGTGGTTAAAGAAAATAACTGTGTTCAAAAAGAAAGAAATGTGCAAAACTGGCTCCTCCAAGGAAGTAAGGGGGGCACTTCAGAGACAATTTCCAGATGGTTTCCACCGATGAGTTGAAGAGTGATTCTAATGGAGTCAATTAGAGGATGTTCAGGATGCATCCCTAAGAATTAATAATAGTCTCAGGGAATGCAGAGGGAAAGAGACTACGGAATTCCTCTGGCTCTTTCATATAAAAATGTATTTAAATCACTTTTCAAGTTTTCTTCCCAATATCTGGGATGGGAATTTTTTAAGGATTTGTTCCACTTTTAAAATGAAATGCTCATCTTCCCCATTACCAATAAATGTTTGCTTCTTCTGATACCAGAATATAACTAGCACATAATGAAAGGCAAAGGCTGTAGATCCTCAGCAGTAAGGTTCACATATTATTTATCTTTTGACCCGGCATCTAGGACAGTTCTTAGAATACAGAAAGCACTTGAAATGACACCAGATTGTGATGGAACTGCAAGCTGGTTTTGTTACTAAAACCTGATTCAAGCCTAAACCCTGTTTATTGCCATCCTGATTAACATGCCTGGCCCAGGGGCTCGGAAACTAAAAAGTCATGGCTTGGAAATGACATCCAGCTGGCAGCCAGTGGACAAGTCATTCCTTTCTCTGCACCTCAGGAAATGGGGACTTACTATGAATTCTAACATCAGCTGAACGATGTGGGAAGAGGTGACCAGAGAGTAATAAAGTGGTGATTGGAACCATCTTTAAAAACTCCATTGTTGTCTAATAGTCATTAAAAGATGAGAATGGGACCACTGCACAACATAAACAGCAAGAAATTGCTCTCGCTCTCTCCCCTCTCCTCATCCTATTTACCAGCAATAGATATAGGTATGTAGGGCTTGATGCATATAGGATTTGGGGGCCACTTTAAAGAAAAATAGTAAAACATCACAGATATGAAAGGGCTAGGAACATGCCTGCTGGGGAAGGAACAGGTGCAGGAGGAGGCTCGGAAGCTGAAGCTTCATTAGCTCTACCCCCATTCACCCCTGCTGTTGGTTGGTTAAGCACTCCCTCTGCTTCAGGAGTGTATTCAGGAGACACGAGGGCCTCATTTTCATGGACAGACATCACTCCTTACATCTTCTTGGAGAATGGCTTTTGCAAAATGTATCAGAGGAAATAAATTTCTAAGTATCAGCAATCTATGTCCATTTCCTAATAACTACTACTAACCAACACCAACCATCCAGAAAATAAATAAATAAATAGATAGATAGATGGATAAATAAATAAATAAATAAATAAAGCCAAGTACAAATTTTTCATCAAGAAGGAAGGCTCAGCCCTGATTGACGCTCTCCTACAAAATAAACTGGCCTGAGAAAAAGAAGCCAGACACAAAAGAGTACATGCTGCGTGACTCGTTTTATGAAGTACAGAAACAGCCAAACTGCAGAGCTGTAAGTCAGGTAGTGGTTTTCCTTAGGGCGGGCTGGTTTGACTAGTTGTGGATAGTCACCAAGCTATATACTCCAATGGAAAGAGAAAAGAAAAATAGCCTCGTAATAATAACGTGGCCTACAAAGATTTTTGTAGCACATGGGCGCACAGAAGTAGAATTGTTTTTTCTTCTAGATATTGCCACGGCAGAGTAAAAGCTTAAAGGCCAAGTAGATAGTCCTTTTATAAAACATGTAGCCTCCTTAGTGGGAAGGTTTTCAGGTCCTATATGACATTTTGTTTCCTCTTTACAGTACCATTGCAAGTGTTGCCAAACTCCAGGCCATGGATACTCTGAATGACACACTGGAGAAGGTGAGGCTTTGGGGTGCAGGTGAGACCCCTCCCCCCACGGAATGCTCCCAATCAGTATTTATCCATCACATGGGGCTCCCTGGGTGAACGAGCACTGACCACTGAGCTTTTATCCAGCTCAGAGATTTGCCGTCCTTGTGAAAGAATCTGCTCTCAGTCCAAGGACTGCAAAGAGGTTTTGGTGAGAAAAGCTGTTTCTCCCAAATTCCTAGTGTCTATTTAATAAAGCATTTCAGGGCAGCCCTGGTGGCACAGCGGTTTAGTGCCACCTACAGCAAGGGGTGTGATTCTGGAGACCCTGGATGGAGTCCCACATTGGGCTCCCAGCATGGAGCCTGCTTCTCCCTCTGCCTGTGTCTCTGCCTCTCTCTCTCTCTCTCTCTCTCTGTGTGTGTGTGTCTCAATAAATAAAAATAAAATCTTAAAAAAAATTAAAAAAAGATAAAAATAAAGCATTTCAAAAATAAGATAGAAAATAACGCAAGAATCATGACACCAAGCTGGCAGCGTTTTACTCTGCCATCCCAAATATTTCTCAGTGGCATCTCATTTCTCATGGCCTATTTCTAGAAAAAAGCAGCCTGTGTATTGGGAAGTCAGTAGTTTGGGGCCTTCCTCCCCACCACTGCATACCCACAAGGAAGTATCTGATTTGAGGTGAAGGTGGGTGGTGGAGGGTTGCACAGTTTAGGGCTGGAGGCACGCTGGGCCCCAGCTGGGTTTATCCAGTAACATCTGTTTATGAAGGTGGTTGGCTATTGCTATTTTTATTTCTATATCTTGTGTTTCTTCTAAGTAGCTCCAGAAACTCAGAAAACTCTTACCAGAGCAACAGTGCTTTGGTTTTACTAGTTTGTTTTTAAGTTTTGTAGGTAAACTAAATAAGAGTCCTTATTCTACTCCTACAGGGCAGATAAGTTGCATTTAAAGCAACAAATAACCACTCTTTCTGCTGCTCTCACATTAATTGAAGGGACAGGACTGTGCATAATTTATAGAAGGAAGACTAGCTGTTGCTGCCAAAATCAGGGGCCTGGAAAAGGTCGGAGCAGAAACTGAGCAGCTGGACCTCTGGGGCCTCCATCTAGTAGTAGCTCCTCCACCTACTATTGCTATGACCTTGAGCAAATTATACTGTGCCTTAGATAAGTCCTTGGTAAAACGGAGACAAGGAAGGGCACTTGGATGGCTCAGTCGGTTAAGCATCCAACTCTTGGTCTCAGCTCAGGTCTTGATCTCAGGGTCTTGATCTCAGGTTCAAGCCCCACTTTGGGCCATGTGCTGGGCATTGGAACCCACTTTTTTAAAAAATGGAGATAAGGAAGAGTATATATTTCCCAGGGTTGTTATGTGGAATAAGTGAGTTTGTATGTGTGAAGCTCTTAGAACAGTGCCTGGCACAGAGTAACCTGTTTGTGCTCTGTTCTGGTGAGTAGCACTGGTTCTGTGACAGCGAAATAAACAGCTGTGCCTGAAGTTCATGGGATATAACAAGGCAGATGGTACTAGACAGGTTTTTTTTTTTTTTTTAAAGTCATCTCCATGCCCAACATGCAGCTGAAGCTCACAACCTCGAGATCAAGAGTCGCATGTTTTACTGACTGAGCCAGCCAGGTGTCCCAGTACAAGGCAAGATCTTGATTAGAGGCTACCGCTACAAAGCCTTCTAATGTGGGGGGCTTGGTTCTTCCACAAATAGATTCGAGGTGAGGTCATAAACAACTCTTTGCCTTCCTGGTTTTAGAAGTAGGGCAGGGATGAATGGTGCCCTGTCAGAGCAACACAGGCTGCTGGCTTCTGCATCCCACATCCTCCTGCACCTGCCCACCAGACGCCTCTTCCGCAGGGGCCACAGACTGTTCACAGTTGTAAGTGGAACTGGAGGGATTAGACATGTTCCTCTAGAATATATGTGAACCCAAAATAAAATGTTTAAAGAGAGTGGTCAGTCTAAGTTGATTATGCTATGTATTAGTTACAGTGCCAGAGTCTATATTGCTTTTTATAGACGTAGGTGCTTATGTCTTCACATGGAGGAGTTCTCTTCCTTTCAGTTAAAAATAACACTTCCTTATTTCACAGATTAAAAGAAAAATCAGCAGCGATAATAACAAGCTGTATTTGTAAACCACAAGAAAACATTGAGATGGTGTGTTGTTACAAATATTTTTAACAAAAAAATGTATATATATTTTTAACAGCAACTGTACCTATTTAAAAAAACAAACAGGGGCACCTGGGTGGCTCACTCTGTTAAGCGTCTGCCTTCAGCTCAAGTCATGATCCCAGGGTCCTGGGATGGAGCCCCATGGGTGGTGGTGGGGGGTTCTGCTCAGCAGGGAGTCTGCTTCTCCCTCTGCCTGCTATTCCCCCTGTTTCTGCTCTCTCTCTCTCTCTGTCAAATAAATAAATATTTTTAAGAATCTAAAAAACAAAACAAACAACTTTAACACTGAATTCAATGTTTACTGCAGTGGGACTGTGGCTAAGACTGCATAGTTTACTGGTTAGAACAGGGCTGACGTCAGACATCAGATGTGTTTCCCACTGGCTCTGTCATTGACATTTCTTGCCTTTTCTATGCCTCTGTTTCCTCATCTGTAAATGGGAATGTGGTTAAAGTATCCATTTCACAGACATATTATGAGAATAAAATGAAATTATAGAACATATGCAAAGTACTTAGCAGGGCCAGGTGCAATTAGCCCTTGTAAGTGTTAGCTTCTATTCCCAGGGCAGTATCCTACAGGACATCACTTGGAATCCCAGGCAAAGTATAAGAAACCTCCAACAAGATCAAGTCCAAGATCACCATGTATAACTATCTTGAATATGGTACTTGATGGGATCAGTTGTTTTCTTACCACTAAGAAAAATGCCCCCTGAACCCATAATTCAACCTGAAGCATAATAAGACTTTTTTTTTTAATTTTTATTTTTTTTGGAGAGAGAGAGAGAGCACACAAGGTGGTAGGGGAGGGAGAGGCAGAAGGAAAGAGAGAATCTTAAGCAGGCTCTGTGCTAAGCTAGGGCTGATCACTTGACCCCGGAGATCATGACCTGAGCCAAAATCAAGTGTTGGACACTTAACCCACTGAGCCACCCAGGTGCCCCTAAGTAAGATTTTATAATAAAGATCAATTTGGGATGGAAAGACCAATGCCTTTTAAAAAACAGATCTCTTGAGATCAGTGGTTGTCAGGAGCTGGGAGGAGAGGCTGACCAGAAAGGGACAGGATAGAATTTGGGGGATTGAGGGTTCTATCTCCTGATTTTGGTCACAGATGGTTTGTATTTGTGAAAAGTCATATAAATGTACACTAAAAAGGGTATATTTTACTGTAGATAAATTATACTTTAATTTTTAAATGAAAAAATGCATAAACTATACTGCCTCATACAAAAAAAATCAAGATATATAAAAGATAGAGAAGTGTAAATATAGATATCTGCTGATGGATTTTTCACCAGCATTACCATTCCCCTCACAATATTGTCATGAAGACCTAACAATATACAAGAAGAAGAATACAGAAGAAATGCAGTAGCAGAAATGAGGGTCACATCCTCTGCATATGTAATATTCATTCTTGCTCTCAGAATGAATATTACTGCCCTAGGATTATGTCTAGTTCCAAGAACTCGTGTTAATTCTCATATGAATGTAAGAACTTAAGAGTCTAAGGTAGGGGGGCGCCTGGGTGGCTCAGTGTGTTAAGCGTCCGACTCTTGATTTCAGCTCAGGTCATGATCTCAGGTTCGTGAGACCGAGATCCCCATCAGCCCTCTCCCTCTCCCTCTGGCCCCCCACCCTTGCTCACGCACATGTGCACACCCTCTGTCTCTCTCTCAAAAAGAGTGTAAGGCAGTAAGAGGACGGTCCTATTCATAAGATCTCATCAACCACTGAAACATGGCAAGAAAAATAAAGAAATTTCTATCCATGTTATTCATCTCTGGATACCCTACTTTAAAATCAGCTTAGGGGTTGAGATTTGGGAGATTGGAAAACAATCCCCCAAAGCTTGGAACTGTATGAATCTAAGTGGGAAGCAACCTGAAATTTTCCCCTCCTAGTATTTCCCCCATCTCCTCCCTGCATGCAGACCTCTCTCACTACTTTTCTCCTACTCTCCTTCCCTCTCCAATCAGCCCTGCTCTCAGCTCTACATAATGAGAGGGTTCATGTTGCCTGGTGACAGGCCATATATCATGATATTCCTGCAGAAAAGGGGTTATGTAACCCCAAAACTCTCTGGGCTAAAAATCTGGGAGAACCAGTCTCAGACCAAGCTCCACCAGCTCCTTCAAGGCTGTTTGACCTTTTAGAAGTCATGTAGCTCCTCTGAGATTTATGGTCGTTCATTTAATCTTTTCTTTCTTTGTTTTTTTTTTTTTTTTTTTAAGGCAGGGAGTGAGAGAGGATGATACTGCCAAATATAATTCTTTAGACAGTGATGGAAGTGATATTTGGCAATAATTGTGAAGCCTCTCTGAACGTGAAAGCGGCCAATTGAATGAAGCATTAGGAACAAGGTTGGGTTATGGTGTGGAGGAGGTGGGAGGTTGAAGCCTAGTTAAAGTTGGGGCCACTTTTCAAGTTGCCAGATGTGTCACCACCACCACACTTAGTGAGAAGTGTGTGAAATGGGATCCTGAGGGAGCGGAAACTATCAGAGGCATCTGCAAATCTAAAAAGGTTTCTCTTGTTCTGTAGATTAACATCACCGTAGGAGGATCCTTGAATTTCATTGACTCAAGCTGAATGTTTTGTTTTAAGCCTTTTGCTTAACGGGGTGTAGAAATCTAAGTGCCAACATTCAAGTTGGAAGTTAACACTCTGGAAAGATGAATGGAAGAGCTGCCTGTCTGCTAATACTACCTAGCTTCAGCCTCTTAAACAAAACCTGCCACTGATTTCCTCGCATCTAGAATTTCTTTCACAGCTCCAATCGTAAAGACTTGTATTATACTTCTTTCGCTTTTTTTCTCTGAAACTAAAACTATAGGTTCTGAGGTCAAAGTTACCCCAGATGAAGGTAGATTCTCCACGTGGGAATTTCTATTGATCAGCTTTTCAAGTTCAATATGTTGCCCCTTCTGTGATGGAGTCACAGCAAGACAAATCCTTATAAATACACCGGCCTTGAATTCTTTCTCTTACAGGGTTACCCTAGATTCTCTTATCCTAATGAATCAAACAAGAAACAAACCCTGTCCTTTTATAAAGACTAATGATGAAAAATCCAAAGCTTCTGAAATTTCAGATGCCAGCTTGAAACACAGCTGGTTGGAAGTTGTACTCTGGAAAGCTATTCCTACTTATTTCTAGTTCCAGCTTGAAAAATCTTCTTATCACCATTGATACAAAATCTACAGCAAAGAATTTATTAGGGCATTGAGAAGTTGACCGTTTCACTTACAGCTTCATCAGTTCTGGTGGAAGACTTTTTATAGACTCTCCATCCACAACCCCCAAATCCTTCAGCATTAGGGTGATCCTAATTGAGGGATTGGAGCATATGAGAAAGAGAACTTGACTGCCTTATTATATATTCAAGAGTTGCTGTACAGCCCTGCTACTAGCTCCCTAAAACCTGTGCATTTGTAATTTAATAATTATAGGCAGTTTCCCTAAGGCTGTTATCTTTGCCAGAATTATTTCCACTTCCTTCTCAATCCTGTTGATTTTTTTTTTCTCCCTAAACGTTCCCAGATCAGTTCACAGATGGCCAACCGACCGGCCCCAGGGACAGCCTCCCGTTCATTCCGATCTGCCCCAGTCCCTTCCTGAAAGGCAGTTGAGCAGAACTTTCAGGACCTCTCTTAAGTGTCTTAGTAAAAATGTAACCCTTAACCCTGGTGCATTATGATTGGAACGTCAAATGGTACAGCCACTGTAAAAAACAATATGGCAGTTCCTCAAAAAATTAAACATAGAATTATATGATCCAGCGATTCCACTTCTGGGTATATACTCAAAAGAATTGAAAGCAGGGATTTGAACAGCTGTTTGTACACCAGTGTTCATAGCAGCCTTATTCACAATAGTCAAAAGGTAGAAGTGACCCAAACGTCCAACGTCCTATCATCATTACATATCCCTACAAAATGTGGTATCTACACAGTCAGTGGGATATTATTCAGCCTTAAAAAGGAAGGGAATTCGGACACTTAACTACCACATGAGTAAGCCTTGAAGGCATTAAGAGAAACGAAAAAGGCCAGACAGGAAAGGACAAATCCTGCCTGAGGCCACTTATATGTGATACCTGGAGTAGTTGGAAGTCAGAGACAGACAGAGAAGGTGTTGCCAGAGGCTGGAAGGTGGGAGGAGGGAGTGAGGAGTTAGTATTTAAAGGACACAGAGCTTCAGTTCGATGTGATGAAAAAGTTCTGGAGGTGAATAGTACGGATGGTTGCCCAACAATGTAAATGTGTTTAATGCAGCTAAACTGTTTGCTTAAAAATGGTTGAAATGGGAAATTTTGTCATGTGGATTTAAAAAATTTTTAAGTAGTAAAAAAAAAAAATTGCAGCCTCTGATGTGCAGAGATAAGCCTAAAGATGTCAGGTCATGAGCGGGTGCCACCCTCCCCCTCCTGTTTCACCCCTGCCTGTGGTGGCTTTCGTGCCTTCAGAGCAACAGGCAATTCTGTGGCTTCGTCTCCGCTGCCTCGACTTGTCCTCTTGCCCCATCTCCCCTTGGCTACTTGCCCACATTTCTGTTATGTCAGAATCACCTATTTCCTTTCTCACCCCCTTCACCTTGTGTTGGACTTGAAGTAACCTGGCAGGGTGCTCCTCCCACCTGTAATCTCTTCTATGTGGTGTAGAGTGAACCTGACATAATCCATCTGTTTTAGTTGACACTAGAGATACCCCTGAAGTCACTGGCCTCTTAAGTTTCCTTTTAGTTCTAATGTTAAAAGAAAAACAAAACACACTGCCCTTACCCCACTATAACATGTCATGTGGCCCAATGATAATTGACCTGACCAAAAAAAGGCATTGGCTCTTTTTTTAGACTCTAAAGCAACATTTATGACCCATACCCCGATTATGTTTTTTCCTTCCTGCTAGAACGCCAGCAGAGACCATCCCTGGGTTTAATTATTATATTACTTCTGTATACTCATTGTAAAAGAAAAATTTTTAGAAAAATATTGACAGGCAAAGTAAAGAAGACTGGAGATTGCCCGTAATTCCTCAGAGATAATCATTGTTAACACTTGAGGGTATATCCTTCCACTGTGTTTAATTTTTTAAGACCAAGAAGAAAGGACTTTCTGGAGTCAAGTTCCACATGAAAGGGAATGCTGTGTGCCCAGAGCTCAGGGACATTTGAGAAGAGATAGAAGGCACATATGTTTTCCCTGGCTTAGAAGAGGCCGAACAACTATAAACAATGTGATGCCTGGGGTCATGCGCAGTTTATCTCCCCGGTTATTTAACTTGAGTGTCAGGGCAAGGGCATCTAAGTTCTGCAGTGACAAGTTAAATTCCTGGTGAGCTGAGGCACCCCTCCCTTGCTGGCTAAGGTAAGTGTCCTTAGGTATCTTTCTGTTGCATCGCTCGGCTTAGAAACCAAGAACTGGAATGGGCCCAAAAGGTCACTGGGTCCAAATTCTCCTAGGAAGACTACATCTGAATTGCTTACGGCACTGGACATCTTTTCCATCTTAAGCTCTCCTTAGTGAAAATTCCATAAAGTCTCTTGGTTCCATGTGAAATTCCTCTTAATGTCCAAAGTTTCAGTCCGTGTTCATTGAAAGCCACTTTTCCTCACAGATGTCATACATGGGATGACCAATAAGAAGTTTGTTACCTAAAGCTACTAATTAATCACTCTTCAGCTTTCTTCGTGCCAGGCTTTGGAGACTGAACCATGTGAAATCGTCAATATTGGACCATTCTTGACCTACAAAAACAGCCATTTCACAGACTTCAACATACCACCTGACCCTAACTCTTCTCAACTTCTTTCATTGGTTCCTTATTTCTGGTCTGTTGACAATGGAGGTATTCCTCCCCTGCAGGATCTTCTCTGGTGTCCCCATAGCCTCCTCAGAATGTAGTGATCCATATATGTGTGTGCTAGGGCCAAATACTTGTTAAAGGACTAATGAGATATAATTAAGCATTTCTACCTTTAAAGATGTCACTTCAGGGATGGCCGGGTGGCTCAGCGGTTGGGCATCTGCCCTTGGCTCAGGACGTGATCCCAGATTCCTGGGATCGAGTCCTGTGTCAGGCTCCCTGCGTGGGGCCTGCTTCTCCCTCTGCCTGTGTCTCTGCCTCTCTTTCTGTGTCTTTCATGATAAGTGAAATCTCAAAAAAAAAGTCACTTCAAAACATACATATAAATGCACATGTATTTTTTTATTATCTTGTATATAGTATAGTTTATAGTTTTCAAAATCAGAAACAAGCTAACGAGAGACACCCAGGTGAACGCATACATGTGTGAGCCCAGAGCTGGAGGTGGTATGGGAAAAAGATGTATGAAAGAAAGAACTAAAACTGTGAAACTCCTCTGACCAACTGCATCGCTCTCTGCTACTCTAATACTTCATGACCAAAAAAATCCAATACGCTTATTTTCTTCTTTCCTTCTCACCTTTAGCTCAGCCATAAATTTCCAGCAGTGGTGCACATGGCACATCAAAAACCCAGACCTGCTCTGGAGAAGGTCACTCCACTGAAAAGGATCTACATTATTCAGCAGCCTCGAAAATGTTAAGCTGGGACATAAAACACAGCCGTTTGGCCAACTGCCTGCAACATCTGACAGCTTAGCAAAAAGGACCAAAACTTTCCATAGGCCTAGTGCCCTCCCTTGGTAAATAAAACTGCTTTTGTATCTTCTCTTTTTGACTTTAGATAATAAAGCATCCAAAATTATAAATACAGTGCTTTCTCAGGCCTCATTTTGGTCCAGGTCAGGATCCCACTGATGCTTACATATGTAATTCTGTTGGATAAGTGGAGAGTCCAGAGTACTTGAGTATTCCACTCCACCTCCCAGGATAAGCTCCTTTCTCCTTATGGCTGACTCCGAGCTGTTCCACCCACAGTGAGTTCTCTCAGAAGGACAGAGGTCAGAAAGGAATGCTCCGAGCTCTGCAAAGGCCAATACTCTATGCAAACATGAGGACTGATTCTTCCCAGTGTGTTTGTCTTAAGATGCTCAAGCTTTCACTAGAGATGAAATGTGTTCCAGGTCCCCACATTGATACGTAGTTTGTTTTGAAGGTTTGCTGAGGGAAAATGAAAAACTCAGAGGTGTTACAAACATATTCTCCTCTGTAGAGCAATCAAGGATGAGAGGTAGAATTATAGTGTCAGGGACGCCTCGGTGGCTCAGTGGTTGAGCGTCAGCCTTCGGCCCAGGGCGTGATCCTGGAGACCCGGGATCGAGTCCCGCATCGGGCTCCCGGCATGGAGCCTGCTTCTCTCTCTGCCTGTGTCTCTGCCTCTGCGTGTGTGTGTCTCTCATGAATGAATAAATAAAATCTTAAAAAAAAAAAAGAATTATAGTTTCAGGAGGAGATTTGTCAAGGCCTCCCACAAAGTTCATGCTCTAGAACCAAGGGGGTCATGATGCTACAGGGCACTGTGGTTAGGGTAAAGACATTGGTTTTATTTATTTATTTTTTTTTTTAGTTTATTCATGATAGTCACAGAGAGAGAGAGAGAGAGGCAGAGACACAGGCAGAGGGAGAAGCAGGCTCCATGTACCGGGAGCCCGACGTGGGATTCGATCCCGGGTCTCCAGGATCGCGCCCCGGGCCAAAGGCAGGCGCCAAACCGCTGCGCCACCCAGGGATCCCAAGACATTGGTTTTAATTGGAGATGGGCAGAGGAAAGAAAGTGTTGCCATAGCTGACCCTATGCTTTAGCTGTCCTACCCTCCACCACACACACACACACACACACACACACACACACACGGTCTTCATCTACTCACATGTGAATAGCCAAGGTTATCGTCAGGTGATGGTAGGGCACAACCACATTCTTTATCCACAAAGCTTAGCTGTCACTTATAGTTCCACCACCTACACACCTCACTAATAATGCCCTCCAACAATTAGCACTTGTCTTGACCCCAGAAAGGGGTCAGTACTCTAGTCCATCATGTTATAGGTTGATAACCCTTGGAGTGTGACCTGGTGCCATGCCTATCTCCAATTCCTGGAACTCCAGAAGCACTTGGCTAAAGTCCAGTGGTCATGCTGATGCATCTTGCTCCTTCCCCTGCATTGTTTGGCTCTTTTTCAGAAATAAGAAAATTGTTTGAGGCAATATCGAGACTTCAGACAGTGCCAGCATGAATCGATAAGACAGTCCTAACCATCCCACTTTGGCTTAGTTCAGTTCCCAGTCCTCTGGACCATTGTCAGAACTATTCCAGAAAGGTAAGTGTTGCAAGGTTCACTTGTTCTTGTAAATGCACAGAAGTTCAAGGTCAGCCATGACTCCCCAGAGGACAGTAGCAAAGTATAAATAGGTTGATGGAAATTAGCTGGAAAACTGGACTGAGATTAGAAGACTGGGGTTCTACTTCTGCCCTTTACTAGTTCTTTTTTTTTTTTTTTAAGATTTCATTTATTTATTTGAGAGAGAGAAAGCACAAGTCAGGAGGAGGGGTAGAGGGAGAAGGAGAAGCAGGCTCTCTGCTGAGCAGGAAGCCAGACATGGGGCTCCATCCCAGGACCCTGAGATCATGACCTGAGCCAAAGGCAGACAGGTAACTGACTGAGCCACCGGGGTACCAGTGACCTTTACTAATTCTTAAACCTTAAACAAGCCACCCAGCCTTTCTGATTCTTGTCAAATGGGCATAATAACACCTGACCCACCTATTTCCAGTTTTACCTTCCCAGTGACACACTAGGAAGAAGACAAAGGGACACTGAGATTTGTAATAAGCCATTTCAAGAGTAGTGAGAGCATGATAGTACCAGGATGACTGTCCTAGAAGCTGCCAGAACTGTAATAGCAGGAGAACTATAAGAGATGGTATAAATTGAGCCTAGAATAGGAATTAAAGGAAAAGCTAAAGACTGAGCCCAGACAGCAGAGGGAAGTAACCCGGGGAGGGTGATAAAGGAAATGACAAGCTACGACGACGGCAGCACTGCGAGCTTTACCTTTCCTGAGCGTGATGGGAGGACCAACCCCCCAATGGAAGGAAGAAGAAGGATACATGGCATCCTCTCCCTCTGAATTGGAAGATGGATTGCAAGGAAAGATAGGCTGCCCAAATGGAGGCTCTGCAGTAAGGAGCCCAGCATGAATTTAGGCCTACAATTGCAATCACTTAAATCACCAAATCCTGGAAAGTAAGAAGGTTGATGTGAACTTCAGATCCAAAAGCAATTGGAATTATCTCAGAGAATGTTTAGAGGAAAAGGACCAGGCCAGTAAAAGAGCTCTGTGGTGATATGGCTGCACATGTAGAAAGCCAAAGGGGCCATTCCCTCTCCCTGCTGAGGAGTAAGTCCTGCATGGATGTGCTGTGGTTCCCCTGGGGTAGGTTCACAGGCCCAGCAAAAACCATGACGCGATGGAGGGCTGTGTCAGGAGGTGCAAGGCTGAGGATTCTTTAGCTCAGGTCAGCTCAGTTCTGCACACTCTGTGTTAGGCATGGGAACACAAAGGTTAGTAAGAAGTTGCCCCTGCCTACCACGAGACCCTAGACCAAAGGGAAATAGGCATGCCAACACATCCACATGAAAGGAGAGTTTAGAGATGGCTTGGTGAGAATGGGGAGCATGCCAGGGAGGAGGTCAGGCACAGTCAAAAAAAAAATGTGTTTGCTATGGAGATGAATAACCTGCATACAGATCTTTACTAAACAGTATTTAGGGATCCCTGGGTGGCTCAGCGGTTTAGCGCCTGCCTTTGGCCTAGGATGTGGTCCTGGAGTCCCCAGATTGAGTCCCACACTGGGCTCTCTGCATTGGGACTGCTTCTCCCTCTGCTTGTGTCTCTGCCTCTCTCTGTCTCTCATGAATAAATAAAGTCTTTATTTAAAAAAAAAGTCTTTAGTTAAGGTTTTTATTATGCAAATTGTCCAACATACGCACAAGTTGAGCGAATATTATACTGAACCCTCGGGTACTCATCAACAACATGGCCAACTTGCTGCATCCAGCTCCCAACTTCTCCCTCTTCCTCTCTCCTTCTAGATATTAGAGCAAATGCCAAGCACAATTTCATCTAGAAATACTTTAGTATGTTATCTCCAATAGATAAACACTCCTGTGTTCTCTCTCTCTCTGTAAACTAAACTTTACAAACATTGTGGAGCAAAAGGGAGTCTTGTATAAACAATCCAAGAATCTTTCATGATAAAAGCAAGACTGGCATTGCTCTGTGAGCCACAAGAGACAGAACAAGTGCATACGCGTGCACACACACACACATGCACACACTGCAGAGCCAGTTGTGCCCACAGAAGCAACTGCTGTGAAATTTGAGAAGGCAGTGAGAGGTGGAACTTCAGAAAGGGAGGTAGGAAATGAAGATGGTTTTCAGGCTGAAGGAAAGAAATAAGTAAACATAAAGTTGGTGGGAGTAAACAAGAGTACAGGAAGAAACCACTAGGGAAAATTAGTTCTCGATGAGGAAAAGAATATAGAGAACACGTGATAATAGCTAGTTGTGAGGTTACTCAGAGGAATAACGGGGTGATAGGCTTTCTTTAGATGGAACCCAAGGCTGAGGAGGATATGGCTGGCTTTGGGTACATATTATGTTTTCAAGTGAATATCTGTATGCCCTGGAGTCACCATCCCCTTCAAATAGATCAGCTGAGCTCAAGCCCCCATCCTACCCCTAGTGGATGTTCAAAGCCTTTCCACTATCTCTGTGACTCTCCAGGGGGGTCATTCTGGTCGCCTCTGATCTCCAGTGAATTTGCTTTTCCTGAGTCCCACCATCCTGATCTCGTCGTGGGATTCACCCTTTTCTATGATTTCCCCAAAAGCCTACCCCAGAGGGTGATAAGCGTACCAAAGATTTAGCAGAGAGTTTATATCACAGCAACCAGACAACCTACTATTGAATATTAGATACTCAGATTTTATGTGTATGACCTCCCACTCCTTCCCACTCCCCCCAACCCAGGATTCTGTTCACTGCTCATTGTACCCCTGGCAGGCCCCTGTTCCTCCTGCCATCTTGCTGACAGCTTCCCCTCTCCCACCCACTTTCCTTACTTTCCTGCTCTTCCCTTCCTCCTGATTTCTGTTCAGTTCCACACCAGCAAGTATTAGTATTAGAAATACTAATCTGAGCAATTAGTATTTCTTGCGTTGTCTTGACTCCTGGAAAACAGGTCCTTAGGGAGTTTATCTTGCACCCAAATAATCTCCCTGCTCCCAGAAACTCTGATATCAGACTGTCAGGATGTCAACATTTTCATCCAAATATGATAGAATGGATAAGTAATTGATTGATTAATTAATCAGACTGAAGTGACTGAGAACTTGATCCAAGAAAAATGAGTCAAAGGAAAAAGTGGAGAACTTCCAAAGAAAATATTGAAGGACTGAAAGGAAAACACATGGAATTAGGGTGAGCAGAGCTTCAATGAAAAATATAGAATACAGATAGAATTTTGAACCTGCTTTTGCATATAGTATTTCATGAAATCTTCACAAGAATCACAAGATGGTAGTTATCATGATCCCACTTTGTAGACAACAAACACGAGCCTCAGAGAAGTTAAGAGATTCGAAGGTTTTATAATGTAAGTGGAGGAATTTCTCTGGGAATCTCTTCATCTCAAATCTAGAGCTGTCTCCATGACCCATGAGAACACAGGCTGGAGCTGACGCTTAGCAGTCTCCAAACAGAGAGGGTCTGGATGCAATTTTGACTTTAAAAATAGAGCTGCATT